TGAGGATTGAGTGGAGTGTATTGCACTTTCAGTGTACCCTGTCATATCGCATGGTCAAGTCTTCCGCTGTGTTTATCTCTCCCTGTGCGGTGTGATACTCCTATTCTCTCCCCTTCCTTCTGTGTGTGTATGGGCATGTGCAGAAGTTTATGTGAGTGAGTGTTGGCCATCAGGCAACGAACAACCAGAATCATAACAGTTGAGAAGAGAGGGGAAACAAGGTGATGGCGACGGCCACGGACGGCGAGGAGGACAACGATGGGGGCTGGCACGGTCGACGACGGCGACGAGGACGCGACGGGCAACTGGAAGTGGGGGAGGCCGACGGGCAACTCGTCTCTGAAAGGCGGGAAACGGAGGACGACCGCCTCCCTCCAACTTTCAAAACGGCGGCCTCATTTGGGCCGCCGATCTGCCTCGATCAGCGGTCCGGAGAGGCCACCGCTTTGGAAGCAAAAAGTGTGGCCTGCGCCACCCGGTTCGATTTTTTTTTGGGCCAGGAGGCCCCCACAACCCGCGTGGGGGCCTCCTGGCCCAAAAAAAATTCAATTCGGGCCTTTCCCGCCAATTTGCTGTAGGCCGCCGGGGGGGAACGGACCGGTCGACCGGCCGGTCCCACCGGCCCGGTTCCGGTTGGGGGTGGACCCCCCGGTCGGACCGGGAATTTAGCACTGTTTTACGCCACCAAACAAATTGTGCCGCAAACTGAAAAATACAGTTTTTCAAAAAAAAACTTGGATCCTGTTTTTCGTTTTCTTTTTCTTTTCTTTTTCGTCTTTTCTTTTTCTTCTTACCCCCCTGACAACGGGGAGGCAGCTGGCAGGTCGGGAGGAGTAGGTCCTCCTCTGTCTTATCCTCCCATTTCTCTCTTTCCCTTTTCTCTCGCGCGTGTGATATGAGCCGCGAGATCTTAGATCTCGCGGCTACAAAAATCTATGTCACCATGAGGTGGGAGCTATCGTGCTCCCACACAGTCTAAAGAGACTGTTTTCTTCAACAGCAGAGGCATTGTTTGTCTCGTGCAGCCTCTGGAGTGGTGGCCGTTGCTTCAGCAACGACACCTATCTCTCCGCTGTTTTTTTTTTTTTTTTTTTTTTTCCCAATGGGACAGCTGTGGGAGCCACACACAGTCTATAGACTGTTCTTTTTTCTTTTTTTTTCCCAATGAGACAGCTGTGGGAGCTGTGTGCTCCCACACACAGTCTATAGACTGTTCTTTTTTCTTTTTTTTCCAATATGCAGACTCGAGTTCGATTCCCATAGGGATCGAACAAAAACTGGGCCATTTCTCGATTTATGCATGTCAACCTTGCGCAGTGGCCATGCTAATCTGCTCACGGCTGTTTTCGGCCACGCGATCTTGTCGATCGCACGGCCGAAAACAGTCGCGCAAAAAGACTAGGCTGCTCCAAAAGGAGCTAGCCCAGTGGGGCCTACTGGCTTCGATCCCCGCATCTGTGGCATGTCAGGCTGGTACTTTACCTACTGGGCTAGCTCCTTTTCACATTAACATAGGAGCAGCCCTTGTTTATGAAGGCTGTAATGCCCAGTAGGCAATCTGCCTGTGGCCTAGCAGGCCTTGCCTGTTGGGCCTGCTAGTTCCCTGGTCGACTGTCCGGTCCACGGCCTCGAGTGGCCTCACCCCTTTGCCTGTGGCCCTGCAGGCACTGCCTGCCTGAGGCCTTACAGGCCCTACCTGATGCTTTCCCATGGATGGCTGCCCATCCACGGCTTCGATTCATCCAACGGTGGGCCTCGACATGGGTCTGTTGGTCTCCCCTTGCTCGAGGTCAACCCACGAGGCCCCAAAAAATAAAAAAGACTTCCTATTCCTCCCGCGTCGTGGCCCCAAACCCGGCGCGCTCCTCTTTTCAGCCTACTTAGGCCCTGAACATTATTTTAGGTAGAATAAGTCTAACTTCAACATTCCCATGTCCACACGCCTCTACGGCTTCAACAAAAGCGAACCATAGTCGGTTACTGCCATTATTCTCAGATGCTGCAGACGTCCGGACTAGGGTTCTAAAAGTTTTAGTCTCTCGATCAAAGGCAAGGTCTGAATAAACTTTCAGCAAGCGTCGACCTCATCAAATCCTTCAATTCAACGAAAAAGTCGGACAGTGTCCGACGTTGAAAACCCCCCTGCAAATACCCTTGTCAGGGTATTTTCCCCGACACCGTACACACACACAACACACACACACACTTGCTACCAACCAATGCTAACTAGGGAAGCTATGTCCGCCTTCTACCAACTACTACAAGCAGTGATGGCCGCTCTATCTTCCTCGCAGCCCACTTCGATTTCGGGCATCTGCAGACCACCTTGCACAAGACACTCAGGCAGCGCTTGGCTTACGCAGAATGAATGAATAACTGGACGCTACCGCTTGATTTATACTTTGTTGGTTGCTGGTCTGCTCCTTTCCACCGGGCCCATGGCGCACACAGTCGCACATGGTACTTGCTGACTGGACAAAGTGAGACTGGAGCTGGGTACCGCTGACTAAGCAAAGTTGGACTACTCACTTGCCTACTTGCCTCTGGTCTAACGTGAGAAACGCTCGAAAGGCCAGTTCCGGACCTTCCGGAAGTCTGTGGACTTGGCCTTTTTCGGGACTGTAGCAGCTACGACCTTGACCTTTCAGAGTTGCAACAACTACGACCCCTACACAGCTACGAACCCTACTCGGCAGACCTACGGTTCAAAACCCGACAGCTACACAGACTTACGACAGACAACAGTCAGCTACCAAGACACAGGTCACGGGTTCAAACACACAGGGGTCTACTTGGTACTGTACACAGGTGAGGTAAGGTCTAGGGGTCGAGCCCTGGAATCTGCATCTGCTACTGCGAAGGTGAAAACCGTTTCAGTAAAAACTCCTAAATGGGATAACCAAGGAGGGTGGTAATGAAGGACAGCTGCCGCCCAGGTTCTTTGAAGCCAAGGTTAAGGTTGTTGATTCAAGGTGGGGGGGGGGGAGCGATGTGAAATTTGCCTTCTCATTGTACCCGTCCGAAGATTTCTTTCAAGCATGGGCAGCTGACTGTTCGTTTCCAATGGGCAATTCACGTCTTCATAAAATGGTCGGGTATTTTTTATTTGAGCATCTGAACTTTGAACATTGAAATTTAACCTCAGGCTCGCCTGCCTGTTGTTTTTGTTGCATGGCTGATTTTGGATTGTTTGATTCTTCAGTCACAGAGATCAGGACAGTTGCAACGAGCACGACTTGCTCTGTGTCTAGTTGACAATTGCATTCCAAGTGTGTTATTTTCAAACTTTCTTGCAAATAATCGCGAAGCAGCTGTTGTAGTGTGGTGACAGTGAAGACATTGTGGATAGATATGAGCGGAAATTGGAATGAGCGGGCCTCGAGAGTTTCTTGACATATGACTTTTGGTGGGCTATTATTCATGTTTTATGTTTGGCAGGCAGAGAGAGAGAGTTTGCAGAAGGAACTTGACCTTGCAAACAAAGAGGCAGATAGAATGCGTCTGCAGGTGAAGGCCAAAATGTTGGCAGATTCAGATGATCTGTTGAATGGCAGAATTGCCAAGGGCTTGCCTCCGAACGCTGCAGAACTGGAAAGTCAAGCTGATGAGGTATGGTGTTAACTTATGTAGGGATTGATCTTCTTTTTTTCTTTTTTCTTTTTTTAATGTGGTCCAATGGACCATACACAGGGAAAATGAGCAGTAGCGATATGGCAGAATTCTAGATTACGAAATCACACTGAAGCCAGATAGCCGAAAGCTGTCGAGAAAGGAGATATGCACTGATATCACACTGAAGGAGAAGCAAAGCAACGAGCTCGATTGTCCATGAAACCCCTCTCTTGCCACCACCAACAATGTTCCCGAAGCTCTTCCTCCTACTGGCGCTCAACGCCCAGACTACAATCCTACAGCTCTTTCTCCTCCTGGCGCTCAACGCCCAGACTACAATCCTACAGCTCTTCCTCCCACTGCCGCTCAACGCCCAGACTACAATCCTACAGCTACGAAGCCAGCCTTTTTCGAAATGACAAAGCAACCAGTTGACATCATCATTAGCAACCGAAGTACATGCAGATGTGGACCATGTAGACCACCAGGTATGTGCCCTCAAATCACTTTCACCCTCGCCCTCTCTGCTCACCCTCGTCTTCTCACCCCACATTCGTTCTCCACCAAAGGACCACCACCACCTCCGCTGACCATCTTTCTCCCAAGCCCGGCTATGGAGGCTGGGATATGGCGCTGCTCCCATTCAGCGCCCAACACTACCACACGCTTGTAGGCGTGTCCAAGCACCGGCGTTGGTGCTAGCGGCCAGATGGCTCGAAGTAGCAGCGCTGCCGCATGACAGCCAGGTGCCCAAATGCCTTCCACCTCGGTCTGGCTCTTTGCTGCCTTGAGAGGGATCTGCATGCACCCTCTAGCTTCAGGTTGGACCGAAGTGTCTGCGCCCAGGCCCATTCAGAGAGTGGCCCGGACCGGATTGGTTAGGCCTGCCTAACCACCCAAGTGCGAACGTGAGGTGTTCCATGCTTCCACTGCGTTGCCAGAAGAGCCTAGTAGGCGCAAGAATGTTTATGAATTTCGCGAGCAGGGTGGAAGCATGGAACACCTCACGTTCGCACCTCGGCCTGGCTCTTTGCTGTCTTGAGAGGGATGTGTGTGCACCCTCTAGCTTCAGGTTGGACTGAAGTGTCTGCGCCCGGGCCCATTCACTGTGCGCCCTCTAGCTTCAGGTTGGACCCGAGTGTGAATGTGAGGTGTTCCATGCTTTCACTGTGTTGCCAGAAGAGCCTAGAAGGCGCAAGAATGTTTATGAATTTCACGAGCAGGGTGGATGTAACCAACTGGCGCGTGGCAACTGTCTGGCGCCCACCAAGACTTTGACAAATTCAGGCCTCATTCAGATTCAGAGGCCCGCCTTCACTTAGGGCGGGCACATGCTGCTGTAGGGGCAACATGAGGGTATGTCGAAGGCTTACAATCCTCGCACACAGATCTGATATGAAACTGATCAGAACAGATACTACACTTGATCTTAGCCAAAAGGCCAAGAAAACATACGTGTGGTGCACCTGGCCTGTGCGCTGCGCGGATTCAAGGTGCACGCGCGCCGCCGCGCACCCGGGTGCACGGCACACGATCCGCGATGTGCGGCCATCCTGTCCGGTGCACAGATGCGACAGGTGCACACAGTCTTAATTTATATTTTATTTTATTTTTCGCGTTCCCTTGTCTTTTTTTTCCCCTTGATATTCTCGGACTGCATAGCATGATGATGGTGCTGTACACAACAGCCTTTGCAGTGTTGAACAAGTTTGCAACTTTACAGAATGCATACAGTAAATGGCCTCGGGGTCAGTGATTACAACTCACCTTCGGGTTGGTTGAGCAACGCATGCAATCAGAGAGGAAACATGTTCGTTGTTCACACACAGGCAGAAAAGGGAAACATCACAAGATTCAAAACAAAAAACAGAGTAAGAGTCAGAATCTCAGATCACATGAATCAAGCACAGCTGACGTTCTGTAAACCTGCAATCAGACTCGCTTTCTTTCTTACTTTGCATGCATGCATACAGGTGATGAGCACACTGGCGCCAGGCGACCTCTCAAAGCTCAGAGATATTCAAGTCGAGAATACAATTTAGACCCGAACTCGCTTCAGATTGTCTATGGCGACCAAGCGACCAACTCTGTAAACGCAATGTTCCCACGCACATACACCCTCACCGCACACGTACTCGCACACACACTCAGCACTATACTTCCTATCACAGCTATGGCTGCCTTCTAAACCCAACGCTACAAGTGGTTACGTCCGCCCTATCTCTCCACTGGCCACTTCAACTTCGGGTTTCCTGCAGACCACCTAGGACAAGGCGCACTAGCAGCGCTTCCGCATGGATCGCGGCAGAATGAATGAATTGCTGGACGCTGCCTCTTGATTTATACTTCTGTTGGCCGCTGGTCTGCCCCTTTCCACCAGGCCCTTGGTGCACACAATCCCACACGGTACTTGCTTGACTGGACCAAGTGGGACTGGGACCGGTACCGCTGACTGAACGGGGTTGCACTGCCGACTTGATGCAGTTGGACTTGTGACTCGCCCACAGACCTCTAGCCTAGCAGTTTTGACCTCTACACAGCTGTAACCCCCACTTGGCAGATCTACAGATCGAACCCCTACAGCTACAGGGACCTATGACAAACAACAGTCACTTCTAAAACACAGGTCGTGGGCTCAAAACACACACGGGTCTACTCGGTACTGTACACGGGTGCAGGTAAGGTCTAGGGATCGAACCCTGGGATCTGCATCTGCTTCTGCAAAGGTGAAAACTGTTTCACTCCCGCCGGCCTAAATTCGAGGTCCTCCGAGAATACTTCAGTCGAAGGCAGGAGCTTTCCCTTTCCGATCTCTCTCGTAGGCTCGGACTACGTCGGGAGCTGTCTCTAGAAGTTCTGCTTTGGTGAACCAGCGATCGTCTTCGGGTTCTTGGTTAGATAATTTGACTTTGTACTTTTTTTGTGGACGACCTCTATCTCCTGTTCTGAAGACATCTTCACCTACTATGCGATCAATGTCGTACCTGCCATCCATATCTGGAGGGATTATAGATCTCCGTGATGGGAATTGCTGACTCGTGGTACAAGGTAACAACTTTGACGCATGGAGTATTGGGTAGGTGTGGAGGTGTCCTGGAATTTCTACTGCGTGGGATGGTCCATCCTTTCCGCCCTTAGCTTCTAGAACTGGTCACGGTCCTCTATACGCAGGTAACAGTTTCTGCGAGATGTTCTCCTCAGGAGCGAATTCTTTTGACTTGACCCAGACCAAGTCGCCTACTTGGAACTGTGAAGGGCGACGGTGCGTGTTGGCTCTATCATTTGGTGCTGGGCCTTCCTGAGGTTCTCAACTACGGTAGTAATCTCTTTCTCGTGCTGTATCGCAAATCCCTAGCACCGGGCCGTAGTCTCTGAATCTGATCCCGGGTAAGTCCTTCAAACGGTCTGCGTGGGTTAAAGGACTTATGCAGTTCGTTGGGAGTGCGACAAGTGGCTACGTGCACGCTATTGTTGTAAGCACTAGCTACCTTTGGGAGCATCTTATCCCAGTTAAGTTGGTCAGGCCTAATGTACATTCTCAGAACTTGCTGCAGGACTTTGTTCATCTGCTCAGTTTGACCGTTGGTCTCTGGATGACGACCAGATGACATTAACAATTTTGATCCGTAGACTTTCATTAATTCCTGCCAGTTCTGAGTAGTGAACTGGGTGTCCCTGTCACTAACTATAGACAATGGTAGCCCATGTTCACTGACCCAATGGTCAAAAAACTTGGCTCTTGGCTCTTGGCATGTCTACTGTTGACACCAGTGTCTACTGTAGCCTATTACTAATTCTGTGTGTGCCTCAGAGGGCAAAGGGACAAAAATTGCATACTTGCTAAACCTATCTACTACGACCATGACTTGGCTCTTGGCATGTCTACTTTTGACACCAGTGTCCATGAAGTCTATAGGCATTGAATCTTCGGGTCCTTCGGGGATAGGCAAAGGTCTGAGAAGACCTAGAGGGGCTTGCGTAGTAGTCTTATTCCTTTGACAGACTTTGCAACTACGTACGTATTCTATGCAGTCGGCCTTCATACTAGGCCAGGTATACGCGCGCATGAGGTTGGCTAGTGTCCTCTGCCAACCGAAATGTCCCTTTGTATCATGGCATTCCCCTAAGATCAGACTTCGGATCTCTTCGCTATTGGGAAGGCGTAGACGGTCAACAACATTAGTATCCTCAAATAACAAGCCGTCTGTAGTGCGGTAATCTGGTTCTGACTCTAGGTCCTCCTTAACTCTCTTGAGGAGGTCGCTATAAATAGGGTCATGCGCATACGCTGCGTTGAGTTTCTGTTGCAGGTCTCTCCCTATATCCAGATAGTGCATTATCGCTCCAAAGTAGTCTAATCTCCTACTCAGGACGTCCGCAACTACATTGTATTTTCCCTTGACCGACTTGAGCTCAAAGTCGTACCGATCTATTTTTGTGGCCCACCTAGTCATCTTCGGTGTCATCTTGACCTGCGTTTTCAGCCACCTTAGCGTCTCATGGTTTGAATATACTTTAAAGTGCCTCCCAAGCAAGTAGTGCTTCCAATGATCTAACACTTGCCTGAGAGCGTAGAGTTCCCTCTCGTAGGTGGATGTCGCTACCTTTTCTGAAGGCATTCTAGTAGACATGAACTCTACGGGTCTATATCCATTGCCATCGTCTTGCTGTAAAATAACACCTATACCGTAGTGACTTGCATTAGTGGTAACGACGGAAGGCAGAGATAGATCGGCTACCTTGAGGACTGGGTACTCTAACAAGGCCCGCTTTATCTTCTTCAGGGCCGATGTGCAGTCTTTATCCCATTTCCAAATTGCCTCTTTCTTTAGCAACCTACGAAGGGGAGCAACGATGGTGGAGAAGTTCCTGACGAATATTCTATAATAATTTGCCAACCTCAAGAACGACCATAACTCTGTCAGCGTGGGGGGAGTCGGCCAATCTCTAATCGCTATTATCTTACTGTCCTCAGGCTTTATGCCATCTCCATCTAGGACGTGGCCCATGTATAAAACCTGTCTTGGCCCACTTACACTTCTTCGCATTGATCTTCAAGTTAGCTTTTCTCAGCTTCCCCAAGACCTGCCTCAGGTGGCCCTTGTGCTTCTGGAGGGTCTTACTAAACACTAAGATGTCATCTAACCATGTAGCTGGTTGGTTAGTCCAAAGGGCATCACTATACATAGTGCCTGTATCTGGTCCTGAACGCCATCTTGTGCTGATCATCAGGATGGACTTCTATCTTATGATAGTCTGGCTTCAAATCTATCTTAGCGAAGTATGTGCAGCCTTGCACTCGATCCAACAAATCATCTATTCGAGGCAGTGGTTTTGCATTCTTCACTGTGATGGCGCTGAGACCCCCATGGTCAATACACATTCTCAATTCTCCCTCCTTTTGGGGGACAAATAGAACAGGCGCTCCAAACGGAGACGAACTGGGCCTAATCCAACCCTTCTGGAGGAGCTCGTCTAACTGCTTTCGCAACTCCTCTAACTCCCTTGGGGACGTTCGATATAGTGCTGCTTTGGGAGTTCTACTATCAGGCTTTATCTCAATGCGATGCTGGATCGGCCGTTGTACTACTCTTGTAGGCGGCTCATACAAATCTGCATAATCCTCCAGCAGCTTGGCAATACGGGGATCTATGGGTTCTTCGGTTTTAGGCTCAGTGACTGGCCTAACATAGGCAACGAAAATCTGTTCGTCCAAGTGCTCCTCCTTCACTAATCTTGCGAATGCATGAGCGTTGAGGCAGCAATGTGCTAAGGGGTTGCTTACCCCTAACACGTGAAACAGGCGAGCAATCTTAACTCCACCTGACGCGCTAGGGAGCCTACACTCGGGCTCTCTTACGTGGACTGTGGCCCCTGCTGCCTCTCCCGTGTCCATTCCTAGGACTATATCAAATGGGAGATTGTCTTCTACAAGGAGAGTTAAGGAATGGAAAAACTGTCTCTACTATCCCATCTTTCTCTAGGTGGAAATAAGCCTGGACTCCCTCGACATAATCCTCGACTCGCATCGTGCGATTGTCTGCGAGGATGCCGACTATAGGTTCCTCTAGCTTTCGGACCTTTAGATTCAGCTTCAACTTCTGTAGCGCTTTGCGACTAATATAGCTACGGGTGGCCCCACTGTCTATAAGGGCCCCTACTCGGCCTCTAAAAATCTCTACATCTACTAACACTAGCTGTCCTTTTTCATCCTCCTTCTACTTGGCCCAGGCAGGCATCCTCTGCTTCAATTTTTCTGCCACGCCTATGAGGGACACAAGCGGTCTCTGGACAACTTTTTAGGCACTGGCCAGCAACCTCTGCCATAGACACATGTGGGTTGGGAGTTTCTCTATGGTGCGCGCACTCTTCTTTACATGGTGTAGAGGTAAGGGCAGTTGCCACCCCAAATGGCGGTTGCCTTTTGCTGCCTGTGCAGCAAACGGGGCCTCTCTATATTTGGGGCAGTATTTGATAATGTGCCCCGGATCACCGCAATAAATGCATTGATCCTGGTCTATCCTTCTCTGCCAGACTTTCTGTTCAAGGCCCAAATCTTCCCAAGGCCTGCCCTGTGGCAAGTCAAGGTGCCATCCACCCCTCCTGGGAGGTGATCGATTGGAACGCGGACGGTTTTCGGGGGACCTTGACCCCTGGCTCCCTCTGGCGGTTTACCCTGCCGCCAACCCCCTGATCATCCTGTCCTCGACCACCTGAGGCCTGGCCCCCTTGGCCCCGGCCGCCTCCTCTTCCTTGCGGCCTCCCTCCAGCTGCGACAACAGCATAGGACCTCCCTTGACCTACACTCTTGTCTTCATCCTCGAGGCCCCACTCAATCTCAATATACGGGACCTCGTCCATTCCTCCTTCATCCAATGTCAGGATCAGGCTGTCTTTCCCCTTAACCTGCCTTGAAATGGTTCGGCCCTTCCACTTCTTACCCTTGTCAAAATCTCTGTGCCAAAAGGCAGTGACCGGCGTGGATTGGGCCTCATAAGCCACGACATCGCGACTCAACCTATCATGCGTCATCCCTTGTTCTCGCGACTTGTCGTAGAAGTGCCCGTGCAAATGTTCGGGCATCGCGCGGAAGAATAACTAAACCAACTATGGCTCAGTGACCCCCTGGTTTGGAACCGCGACAAGCTCATCCATGGCTCCCTTGAGTGTCCTTGCACTCTTCCACTGACGTGTGTGTATCGTCTGGAGCTCTTCTGAGGCCTTGATTCCCTTAGTTACATCCGCGAAATGTTCGCGAAGTAACTTTAGGAATTCATTGAGGGGAGTGATGGTGGAATGAGCCACCATATCATTGTCACATTTGGCGGCGCGGGCTAACGACCTGGCGAAGCTAGACGCTTCGTCTCTAAGGGCATGGAATGCGACGAGGACCTGCTCCTCAGGGAGGTGCACATAGGAATTGATGTTGGCCTCCCAATTGTCAAAGTCTTCCCCCTGTGTCCCGTTGTAGGCGTCAGAGAACTTTACTTTGACTCGTTCCCTATGCGGGCGTGCCTCCTCCTCCTTTGGGACTGCAAGCTTGGCGCCCTCTATGGCGCCAACACAGAATTGTTTTGTGTTCTTCGTACGGGCCTGCATCCCAGAGCCCATCCGCATCATCATATCGTGGGCGAAGTCTCTAAAGCCTACTCGGATAGATTGTAGGGCTATGCATGGCCCCTTGAGGTATGCATCTGCTCCTGTTGGACACGAATCGATACATCTATGCTTCTTGCGATCGCATCCACCTTGCTCTGCAAGTCCTTGTGCCAGCGCATTAGTATGCCGCTCTGCTGTGGCAGCCAATTCCTTCTGTAACTCGGTGGCCGCCGCAATGCACCTCCTTCTTTGCCTCCTCAGTTGCAATTTCCACTCCATTCTTTTCTCCTCTTCCAGGGCCTGCTGCTGTAATGGGTCTGTCAGGGCCTTTATCTCTGCCACATCAGCATCCCTCTCATCCTGGGGGATGTACATCAACGCTTCTTCATCTTCCCCCAGGGAAAAGTTGGCCACCCACTCCGACACCATCTTCTCCAGTTTCTTCTCGTCTTCACTAACCCCACTGGATTCCCCTCTTTCCTCTCTCCTCACAATCCTCACGAGGGGTATCTCCTCTTCTTCTTCCTCTTCCCCTTCTTCTTCTTCGACTTCTTTAAGCTTCTCCTCCTCTTCTCTCTTCAACCTCTCCATTTCTTCTTCAAGCTTCTTCTTCTTTGCCGCCTGCGCTTCCAACAGGGCCTGCTTCTTGGCCTCCTCCTTTCGTTCTTTCAATGGCGGCGGCACTCTCTTCCTGCTCTTTCGTATATGGGGTGGTGCTCGTACCGCTACGCGTGTCCACCATGGTGATAGATGTACAACTGGCTGACAGTTCCACTCCTCACCGCTTAGACTCTCGCCCCGTGACCGACTTAACTGAATGCAAGGAATATGAGCAAGAGCGATATACAGAAAACCAAGTTGCGAAATCACACAGATGTCCAAGTAGTCATGTACAAGCAGAGAGCGCAAATGCACCGAGATTCCATACAGATAAGAGCAACACAATGAACTCACGAGCCAATGTCGAAGCCCTCAGGCCACACCAACACCGAATCCAATGTCGCTCGTACTCTGTCTGGCGCCCAGCGCCCAGCCTACACTACTCACCTATCCTACTACACCAGCGTTCACGCAACAGGCTCACTTCGACTTTGAAGATCAATGTACATGACGTCAACACCATAGCTGACCTCCCTCATGCACCAGGTATGTAGCTCGTCTCTTCTCATCACCCCTGACTTCCCACAGTGTGCATCCTCAACACCCAAAGACCACCATTGCCATCTAGACCTGCGCCCAGCAGCCCGGCTATGGCTGCCGTGCACCCACTGCCCAGCAGTGCACCTCACACCCCAGCGCCCGTGTGTGCGACCCAGCCGGCAGCTTCGTGCAAACACGAAGTTGCAACGCAGCAGCGTGGCCGCATTGCCTGCCTAGGCCAGAATGACTTCCCCAGCGGTACTCACTTTCCTATATGGAAAGTGAGCTCAGCCTCTGCTGCCTCTGAGCCTGGCTGGGCGAGCATCCAGTAGCTCCCAGAACGGCCTCAGTGCCTGCGTGCAGGCCCAGTTGCAGTTACGGGCCTCTGCATGCCTCCACATGTTCGCTGTGATCTCATTGCCTCACGACCACTTTGTACCGACAATGCTGCAATCTCATTGGTCCATGGCTGTTGTATGATGTGTCGGCCTCTGAAAGCACATTTACGGGGCCCTCGGCTCAACTGCCCGTTGAGGCTGCAACTTCCGGAAAGAGCCTGGAGAGGCTCACGTTGCTCTGTAACCAATTGGCATGCTGCAACTGTCTGATACCCACATATGAATAATGTCAAATATTTGCCTCTTGTGAATGTTCAGGCCCGCCTTCACTTCGTGCGGCCACAGGGCTTGCTGAGGGCCTCTGCGCAGAACATGTGCATGTCTATTAAGGGCCCCGTGAAGGCTCATTCCCCGCACATATACGACCCCTTTAGGGTGATCACACTGGCCTGTACCCAGGCCTTGGCACATATTGGCAGGCCCACCTTCACTTATGGCGGGCAAGGCCTTTCCCGGCACTGCCGAGGGGTCAAATCATCGCATAAATGACGGACTTACTAAGGACCACAGCATCCTTGAAGGACCCTGTCAACTATGGTCTCTAGCCTGACTCTACTTCTAGTCTGTCACTACAGGACTTAGTGTGCTGATCGGGAGGCATTTAAGGAGATCCCCGTAATTCCTCAGGAATTATTTAATGTCGCAAACAGGATGGCGCGATCAGCAAGTCCTCTCAAGACGTAGACAGCTGGTTGTGCAGCCCACAGCTCGGATTTTGGGCCTACGTGCCACATTGAGCAGCCCGCCGGTCTGTTCCGGTCCTTGGGACAGCTCGTCCTCCGGGTCAGTCAGTCGTCAGACACGGCCTTTAACCCTACTCAGCCCGTGTGGGTTTGGTCAATGCAGCTCTATGACCTCATACACAGAGTTCCTATCACCTGGACAGAAGAGACTCAATGCAGAAAGAAGTGACAGACTGACTCAGCAAGTACCATGGGGTATGTGCGCATCCATAGGGCGAGGGGATAGGCTGAAGGCTTGACGAGAGTATACCAACTCCAGCTTGGTCAAACTCTGTGGTCAACAGCTCCGGTCAACGCCCTGGTCAACACCTCAGTCAATGCTAGTCAACATCCCGGCCAACTCCTTGGTCAACGCTGGACAACACTTCGGTCAACTCCTTGGTCAACGCTGGTCAACGTTGGTGAGTACCTCGGTCAACGTTGGCTATGACTGCCAACCCTCTCTCTTCCACTTCCCTTCGCCTTCCTTCTTCTTCCTCCTCCTCCACCCTCGGCTATGGCTTCTTTCTCGTCCCTCGTACTCTATCTTCTTCACCCCCGGGTATAATTTATCTTTCTCCCTTCTTTGTCTCTCCTTCCTTCTCCACCTCATCTATGACTTCTTTCCTCTTCTTCGTCCCTTCTCTCTCCTCTTCGGCTTTATCTTCTCTCTCGATGTCCGAGCTCAGCAGATATGGCCACCCCTCCTTGTATCGCTTCTCTCTCTCTCTCTCTCTCTCTCTCTCTCTCTCTCTCTCTCTCTCTCTCTCTCTCTCTCCCCCCAACGTTGTTCTCTTGAGCAGGTACAGCGGCGCAGCTATGGTACTCCTATGGTATTGCCGTGCTTGGCGCTTCTCCTTGATGGCAACCTTCGCACGTGGCTCTGATACCAATGCAATCAGACTCACTTTCTTTCTTGCTTCACATGCATGCATACAGACGATGAGCACACTGGCGCCAGGCGCCCTCTCAGAGCTCAGCGATATTCAAGTCGAGAATACAATTTAGACCCGAACTCGCTTCAGATTGTCTATGGCGACCAAGTGCCCAACTCTTACAACCAACTCTGTAAACGCAATGTTCGAACGCACACACACCTTACGCTGGATCTCCCTGGATATCCCACGCACATACACCCTCACCGCACACGTACTCGCACACACACTCAGCACTGTACTTCCTATCACAGCTATGGCTGCCTACTAAACCCAACGCTACAAGCGGCTATGTCCGCCCTATCTCTCCACTGCCCACTTCAACTTCGGGCTTCCTGCAGACCACCTAGCACAAGGCGCACTAGCAGCGCTTCCGCATGGATCACAGCAGAATGAATGAATTGCTGGACGCTGCCTCTTGATTTATACTTCTGTTGGCCGCTGGTCTGCCCCTTTCCACCAGGCCCTTGGTGCACACAGTCCCACACGGTGCTTGCTTGACTGGACTAAGTGTGACTGGGACCGGTACCGCTGACTGAATGGGGTTGCACTGCCGACTCGACACAGTTGGACTTGCGGCTCGCCTACAGACCTCTAACCTAGCAGTTTCAACCTCTACACAGCTGTAACCCCTACTTGGCAGATCTACAGATCGAACCCCTACAGCTACAGGGACCTACGACAAACAACAGTCACTACTAAAACACAGGTCGCGGGCTCAAAACACGCACGGTCCTACTCGGTACTGTACACAGGTGCAGGTAAGGTCTAGGGATCGAACCCTGGGATCTGCATCTGCTTCTGCAAAGGTGAAAACCGTTTCAAACCGGAGTCTTGGCCAACAATTAAACCACCACTCCCCCCGACGATGAAAAATGGGCTTCCTGGGCGTTTCGGAGGCCGGTAGCCCGGAAGAAGGGAAGGTCAGTGGTATTTCAAGCGGACCTCGGCAAAAAAAAAAAAAGAAGAAAAAGAACCGGCAACTTTCACGATTTTTCACTTAAAATAATAAATGCAAGGAATACGAGTGGGAACGATATACAGAAAGCCAAGTTCCGATATCACACAGATGTCCAAGTAGTCGTGTACGAGCAGAGACCACAAATGCACCGAGATTCCATCCTAATAAGAGCAATACAATGAAGTCATGAGCCAATGTTCATGCTCTCAGGCCACACCAGCACAGTATATCCAATGTCGCTCCTCTCTGTCTGGCGTCCAGCGCCCAGTCTACACTACTTGCCTATCCTACCTACATCAGCATTCACGCAACAGGCTCACTTCGGCGCTCGAAGACCAATGTACATGATGTCAACACCATAGCCGACCAGGTATGTATTCTCGTCTCGCCTCATCAGACCCTGACCACACTCGCCTCCTTCCTGAAGACCACGGATCGCCCTCTTACCCCCTAGCGCCCTGCAGCCCGGCTATGGCTGCTAGCGCTCTGCTGCCCAGCAGCGACCCTCTCCACCTCACAAGCGCCCGCATGCGCCCTGGCCACTAAAGCAGCACACAGCCTCTCGCACAGCAATGCAGCAGTGTGACCACAATGCCTGCTTGGCCCAGAATGCCACACCCTGGCTTCCTTCTTCCCTATATGGAAGTGGCAGCGTCTGTTTGGCTGTTTGTGGCCTGGCTGGGAAGCTTCCAGTAGCTTCTGGTCGGCAGTGCTCGCAATCTTCGTGTATGTTGCGAACTGGATCCAACCCAAATTTGGTCCGCAACAGAGACTACAATTGTACCCAGCCCCAACTGCAAAAAAAAAATTAACCAGCTGTCCAAACTGGATAGTGGGTTTTTGGCACTTTTTGCAGATTTTTCAAACGGCACCTGACCCGCCCAGGAACCTGAAAAAATGCCCAACTGCACCCAGCTGGACCAGTACCCAATTTTTACACCACCCTAGCCGCCCAGACCCATCCTGAACCGCCATGGACCGTTTTTTTTTTTTTGAATTGGAAACATCAATATGACTCTTTTTTTTTTTTTTTTTTGCAACCATAGCTCCACCATATGCCGTTTCCCCCCCCTCGAGTAATTCAAAAGGAAGGCATAGATCATGCAATTAGAAACATGCAGAAGCAAGGTTTCACCCGTGTCCACACTCAGCAATGGGAAACATTTTCAATGAAGTTTCACAAACAAATTGAAAACCAACAACATTTTGAAATGGAACTAAGTTGAAATGGAACTAAGTAAATCTGAAGTACAACAGTCTCATAATGAAAAATAATCCGGAAATGGTGATAGCATCTATGCCAGTACCATCAGCAATACTGAACTGGTACTACGACCACAACAATTTGCTATTGCTAGGTTTCTGAAAGTGCTGACTTCTAAGTGTGCTAGACGATCCTCCTTAAATCTTTATTAGATCTCACGAAAATGATGTCATTGATGATTGAAGGATTGAGGCGGTTCCTCTTCTTAGTGATGGTATTTCCGGTATCAGAGAAGTTGCACTCACTTTTCGAATTTGAGGCGGGTACAGAGAGAACGGAGCGGGCCTCACGTGCCATGATTGGCAAAGGGAGCAGCAACAATTGTTTCTCTGCAGTTTTCACTGCAGTGCCCTTTGCCGTCCACCAAGGCAAAATGCTGAATGCCCGCTTTTCATCCTTCGTCAATTTCAAATTGAAGTAAACCTCCAGCTCTTTCTCAATCCGCTCGTTCAACGTGTCGACAACATCAACACTATTATCAAGAACTGCATCTTCCTCATCTGAGCTGCACGTAGTGATCACTCTAGGCAAAGGCCGCCTTCTTTTGCGTGGTCGTTCACTTCGAGGTTCAACCTCTGCTATTTCTGACAACTCGCTCTTGAACCCCCCCCCCTCCCCAACTTGCTGCATGATTTCCTTCAGGCGGGATTTCCCTTTCCGCACTTGGACAAATGGTACATCAAACAGTTCCAGCCGGTCCTTTTGATGAGGATCCAGCAACGCCGCAACAACATGCAAATCCTCCAACTTCCACTTCTCTTCTAACACCTTTTTGATCAACTTCTTTATTTCTTTCATTTGCTTCGAGTCGCCAGGAACAGTGATTTCATTCCCCTTATCATCAGGACTCGGGTGATCTTTTGTGTGAATTACGCAATGTTCCATCAAAGCATGCCATTGGAAAGCAACTAGATGAAGTGTTGGTTCAAAAAGTTTTTCCAGTTTCAGAGTTGCTTCCTGAAACCGGGTGAGAAAACGAGATAACTCAATCAAAAGATCACGATCGATCTTATCTATGAGATACTTCTTGTTTCCTGGCCTGTTCCGAAGAACATTGCCCACTTCATCATAATTCACCATTACACTATTCAACAACTTCAATAGTGAGTTCCACCTTGTAACATTCTCCTGCTTCAGAGTTGTCTGCAGACAGTTCTGCAAATTCGCTTGTTTGAAAAAACGTACGAGATCTTAGCAACTGTCAATGAGATCAAAAACATCCGGGGCACGGTCATGGGACCTGTAAAAAGGAGCAGATTTGACTCCCTTGCTCGTGGTCATCGTTTTCGTCAGCACAGTGGTCAGGATGGTGGCAATCTTGTGATCAGCACATGGATGCCCGCTGTAGACACTTGTAATACCCTCGACCCCAGACATGCTGGAACCGCTGTCTGAGCAAATGTAGCACAACTCAGGGGCATTGAGCCAAATTCTGAAAGACACTCCCGAAAAGCTTTCAAAACAAGGGAGGTTGTGTGTGACTCGTCATAAAATGCTTTCACCTGGAGAGCTCTATCATCCAGTGACAGACATGAACAAAGTTTTTTTCATTGAATCTGTCCAAAGATCGACAGTGAAAACCAGCCCATACCCTGTCCTCAAAATGATCCAGGACGACTTCTTTGACAAGCTTCCTAATTGCTGCAGCAGATGTCATTATCTCATTTTTCACAGTATTTGCCTTTGGCAGCAATCTATCTGCCTTCATCCCTCTACTGCTGGCAAGACCTATATCAAGAATTGTTTGAGCAACACTTTGTGGAATCCAGAATCACAAACCACAGACAAAGGTCTGAGATCATCGCAGCACATTGCAGCAACGGCTTTGGTTACTTCTGCATGGGTCCTGGGAACTATCTCACGCAAGTGTGTACACGCCATGCATCGTACTCCCACACACAATGAACAGTAGTCTGACAATAGACAAAGATAGAGAAGATGAGGACCGAGTTTCACAGTTTATATTATCAGAAATATGAATACAAA